AATGATGAAGCAGGAGAATGCTGACCGAAATCAATTAGAGAAATCAATGCCCCTGAGTGCAGCAGTATGCATTTCTTCCCTCCTCGCCCAGTCCCACCCTCCCTGCCAGGCAACCCTGCTCACTCTTTGGGAATCCGATGGTTTAGTTAAATCTCTGCTGGTCTCTGCTCTAGCCAGGCTGGGCCTGGGGATCTGGAGTGGCCCTGGGGAGAGGGAATGTTGGGAGGGGGTCAGCCTGTCACTGGGAGGGAGGCAGGGGCTGGCACAGGGTTGGGAAAGCCCGTGGATGAGCTGGGCACTGTGGGGCTGCCCCAGGCGAGACGGGGTCTTTTCTAGGCTGTAGACTTGAACTCCGAAGATTAGGCCAAACAAGGCCCATAGGACAGATAAAAAGAAATTTCAATTCTCTTGATTTCTTAACACTGCTGCTTCACAGGGGAGGGGGAGAAAGTATTTAAGGTGTTCAGAATCGGGATGTGAAAATTTATAGAGTGAGAGCTGTCGCTTTGCTTACTTCTTCAGTCCACAGAGGTTACCAGGGTGGGACCCTGGATCCCAACTGCCAGAGTTCGAATCCTGATTCAGCCACTTAAAATATGACCTCAGGCAACTTAAATCACTTTTCTTCCTTCAGGTTTCTCATTTGTAAGTAGGGATATTAATAGTACCTACCCCATGGAGTTATTGTAAGAATTAAAGGAACATCAACATGTGTCTTGCTATAAAGTCGGCTACTTTATTTTTTTCAATGACGAAGCCTGAGAGGTCTGGGCTGATCCCCTTATCTCTGCAATTTCCGACAGCTCCCCCCCCCCCCCCCCCGCCATCCTCGGTGTGGCATCTGTCACCAGCACCTTGCTGATCCATCTTTACAGTGCCTCTGACAGCCACCTCCTTGGTCCATGCCACCGTCTCCTGTTTGGGGCCCTCATTGCCTCCCGCGGAGACTGTTACAATTGCGTCCTAACAGGTCCCTCCTCTCCGTCCTTCACCGAGTTGTCCGATCAGTCTTCCCGGAACACCATTTGAATCACGTCACTCGCCTGCTCAAAAGCCTTCAGTGGCTCCTAGGGGAGCAAGCCCAAAGCCTTCGACGCCTGTCCTCCGCTGCACATCCCAATCCCACCTTTCAGACTCCCTCCCTCCAAGCCCCGCCCACCGGTGCGCTCGGCTCCTCCCAACTCTGGACTGTTCCTCAAACCATTCTTAGCGCGGTGCATTTGTCTACACAGCCTCCTTCCCAGACTGCCCTCCTCTGTGTTCAGCCACTTTCTACCATCCTTCTGGGTCCAGCTTGGATCCTGCCCCCCTGCAAGTCCTCCTGAAACCCAGTGGCACTAACTGTTCCTTCACTCGCCCCCGTGTGCCCTGGGGTTGCTCACTCTCTTCATGGGCCCCTGACCTAATTCTGTCTGTACGCGCTCCCAGGGCATGGGCAGGCCTGCTGAAGGCGGAGGAGGGACCCTGTGCTGGTTCACTGACTGTGGAGGCCTGGGTCAGCTGCCGTCCCACAGCACCTCCGCTTGCAGGGTCCGTGGTTCCTGACCTGTCTTGGTTGGCACGTTCTTCTTTTTATTCCTGGTGGTAGTTGTTGTTTTTAATCTCTGGGGCAAGGGAACCCTGAGCCTTCCTCCCTCCATGGAAGGAAGGGAAGGGATGAGGTTTTGCGGGGAACACACAAGTCTGATCAGTGGCTATGCAGCTAATGCGTGTGCGCGTTTGCTTGTGGCCGCCGGGGTAAGGCTGCAACCTTCTCCCCTTCAGCCAGTCCTTTTCCCCTTCCTCTCTCTGCTTCTCTACAGCTTTGCCCTCCAGAGAATCCACCCCACAAGACAGGTAGGCAGGTCTAGAAAGATGAGGGAGAAGAAAGAAACTAAAGGTCTAAGTGTCCTCTTTCCTGCTCCTGCACAAGACAGCTCCTGCTCTGTGATTGGGAAGGCTGTCTTGGTGGGCGGGGCTATTGCCTGCAGGTCAGCCCTCGGCAGGCAGCCAGATGGGTCCTTGCAGGTGGTTTGAAGGTTTCCGTACCTGGGGCCTATGAAAGTGTGCAGGGCCTCAGCCAATCACGTCCTGCTCCCAGATTCTTGGGTTCACACCTGCTGGCCCTCCTTTCTCCAGTGACTCCCTCTTGCAAGGTCTCTTAGCCTCCAACCTCTGCCAAGTAGTCTGTTTCCCTCAAGCTCCCTTAGTCCTTTCTCTCTGCCTCCCGGTTGTCACTTAGGTTTTATGCCTTGTCATGGGTTCCCAATTCTTCTGGATTCAGGGGAAAGAGGGACACTTTATGAGCAACTGTCTATGAACCAGGCGTTCGACTAGCTGCTCTGTGTGCGGTGCCTTGTCTAATCTCTGCAAGGCTGGGTTTTTCTAAACCCACATTTATAGACACCTGGAGTTCAGCGAAATTAAATTGCCTATGACTAGTAGGGGTTCTTCTGTGTTTCCTCTGCAGAGCCTGGCACAGGCAGGGGTGGGGCTTGCACCGAGCAGATGCTCAGAAAATATCCGTGTGACCCTTGGACTCTGCCATATGTAAAGACAGTTCAGGTTGAGGCTGGCGTTGCTAGAGAATGAGGTGTAGTAGGACAGGCTTTCTGTAGACAGGAGGAAAGAGCAGGCCCAGGGTCAGAGTGCCCCAGAGTCACACCGAGATGGCTGTTGGTCTGGTTGGTGTTGCCGCTGTCCTTGTGGAGGCTGGGTGACCCCAAGTCCCTGAAGGGCCTCAGCCAGTCACTTCCTGCTGCTAGATACCCCCCTCCGGCCAGTGTCCCCTGCTGCTTTCTCAGCCCCTTCACTGGAAAGGGGTAGGCAGGGCAAAGCTCCCATATGTTTCAGAGGGTTTTCCTCCTTATGCCCTTCGAGGGTTAAAAGACATTTGAAGACATTCTGGGAGGAGGAAGAGGGTTGTGCAGAGCAGTATTTTTGGACCCAGGAGTAGGGCCCTTGGAAGAGGGAAGAGCTGCCTGGGATACAAAATATGGGGGAGGTGGAGGGCAGCTGGGTGGGGGAGGGGAAGAAGGAAGTGTGTACAGGACAGGCTCCAGCCTCTGGTCGAAGACTACACAGTAGCGTAGCTTCTGCCGGTTCTGATTCTTTCACCTGCACTCTTCTGAACTTTCTTAGCCGTTTCCTTCAGTCACTCAATGTCTGGAAAGAAGCCAGGAGACCTGTCAGATGTGGACTCATTTCCTAGAACCGCAGAGGAACGACGGAAGGGCAGCCGGAAGGGGGTTGTCCCCAGCTCCAATCCCCGTGCCCTCTTGGCCTAGTTCCATCACTGGTGGGCTAGGGTGGTGTTCTCCGAGGACGCCATTCAATGCCCTGGGACAGAGGAGAGCCACGCCCCAGGATGCGCCAAATGAGAAGAGGCATTAGGAAGAAACCCGCTCTCTGTGCTTGCAAGCCTGGAGAAGCCGTGTTCCCGCCTAAATCCGCAAGATGGAAGTTGCTCCCTCTAGCTTTTCCACTAGCGAAGGCTGCTGGCTTCGTGAGTGACCCCTCCCTCCACACCCAGGTCGATTTCTAGCATTTACTCTTTGACACAGTCTTTTTCATTTAAAAATGCATCTTAACAGGCACCATCAACTACACCTTAGATCGAGCGCAGGTCCGTTTTGGGTAGGATGGAAAGTTTATGAGGCACTGCGCTTACCCCACCACAGCATACAGGGTGCGTGCGGAGCTGCAGGCAGGAATATGTGCGCCAGAGCCGAGGGATGCAGGCGGCGCTAACGTAGTAAGGATGTGTCAGGAGGGAGCGTGAAACTGGGGTGCCTGGCGCGCGTGGGTGTGTGCACCCGTGTGTCTACAACCCCACCGCCTCGCCCTTCTTGCTAGAATGTGTCCAAAAACCTCACCTCTCCTTCAGCCCTTTCCCAGCCAGACGCTTCCTTTTTGGTGTTTTTACGCGTTTATTGTGAATTCCGTGACTAAAACACGCCGGTAAGCCCATCGACATATGGATCAATCGCCCCCATCCCGGTTGGGGGAAGGGGACCCCGCCCGGCGCCTAGGAGCCGGGGAACAGCCGGCTGCCTTGAGAGAGCCACCCCAGGGTTCTCCAGCTTGGCGCTGAGTCCTGGCTTGGGCGGTCTCGGGGGCTCCTGCCGGGGTGGGGCGCCAGCCCCCGCCTAACCTCTTCCGCGCAGTTCAGGCAGGTTTGCGGGCCGCGGAGGCAGCGGCGAGGGCGCGCGTGCTTGGCAGCCTTCTGCCCGCGCGGGGGAGGACAAACAGTAAGGAAGGGGTCTCAAAGGGCTGAAACCATGGGTGTGCGAGGGGCGAGCGCGCCGCGGGCGTGCGGGGAAAGTTCTGGAGCTCCGTGTGGCGATCACACGTGTATGCGTGCGAGGGGTTAGACCCGAGCCGGCTGGCTGCGCTGGGACGCTGGCAGCCTGCGCCCGAGGGGGTCCTTTTCTTCCTCGGCGCCTTCGGGGGGACGCTGGACTTCGATTTTCCTGCCAAGGACGCCTCCTCCCGCGGAGGGTGCTGCCCTTTCCCAAGACTCCGACCACCAAGATGGGGTTTTTCTAGCGCCCCTCCCCCAGCCGCTAGGATGGCTCCGATGCCGTACACTCCACGCCTTTTGGCCTCCGCTCAGCCTGCTAGGGCGCCCCAGACTCGGTGGCTGAGGGGGCGGGGCAGGGGCAATAGGGGTTGGAAGGCTCAGCCTGTCGACGGAGGGTGGGGGGCATAGCGGGGGAAGGAGGCTTCATGGGGTTTGCTCCACAGCCGGAGGAACCGGTCCCTTTCCGGCCCAGGCAGCCGGTCAGTCTGAGGAAGGGCTGGCGGCTGAGCTCTCCTCTCGGCCAGCGCTCCCCGGCGCCACCGCCGCTGCAGAGTGTCGCTACTCCGCCGCGCGCCCGCGCCCCGTGCGGCCGGCCGCCTGGGAGCCGAAGCACCGAGCCCGGGGCGGAGGAGAGGGGCGCGGGCGCGAGAGCCGCGGCGAGGGAGCTGCGAAGGGGGAAGGGGGCGGGCGGAGGGAGGAGCGGGAGAGAGGGAGAGGGGAGGGAGAGAATCGAGCGAGGGAGAGCTGGGGAGAGCGAGCAAAGAGCGAGAGCCAAGAGAGGAGCGAGTGGTGGAGGGAGGAAGACGGACGCGCGCCGAGAACGGGTACCGGAATTCCATCAGAAAAAAGTGAGCCGGCCAAGGGGTAGCGGGAGAAGGTTTTTTGAAATTTTCCTTCGTCTTGGAGCGAAAGAAGCGACTCCGGTCTCTCGTCCCTCCAAGCTCCCGCTGGATTGTTTCCTGGCGCTTTCCCCCCCGTCTGTGGATTGCTTTCCTACTTGCGTTTTTTTCTGACCCCGACCCTCACTGCTTTCTTCCAACCCTCCACCCTCCAGTCGCCTTTCCCACCTCCCCAGGCCCCTCCAGAGGAGTGCAGGGGACCGGACCCGCGGGGACCGGAGACTCCCGGACCAGCGGAGGAACGGCAGAGCCCAGGACCGCTGTCGGCTGGGAAGCAGACATCCACAGATACACCCGCCTATTTGATCTGAGTGGGCCGGGGGGCGTCGAGAGGCGCCCACCGCCCTCCTTCCCCCACCCCCGCCAGCCGGAGGCGAGAATAGCAGGACTCAGGATCTTCCTCGGGTGGACTAGCTGGGATCTCCGCATTGGATTTGGGGTTGATTGTCACTGCTTGGCTATTATTACTGTTTTTATTATTTTTTTACCCTAAGAAGAAAGACAAAAAACCAAAACTGTGGGATTTATTAACATGATCTTGGCAAACGCCTTCTGCTTCTTCTTCTTTCTAGGTGAGTACCTGCGGGCGGCGGGGGCAGCGGGTCTGGCTGAGCCAAGGGGCGGGGAGGGGGGCCGCACGGGCGGCGCGTTCGGCGCGTTCGGGTGCCTGCGAGCAGCCGGGGACACTGGGGGTGAGCAGAGCGCCGGGGAGACCGGCTGGGCAGCCCGCGGAAGAGCGCGCCTCGGAGTGAGCCAGCCTGGGCGCTGCCAGCCGAGCGGGGCCCGGCGCGAGCCGAGGCTGTCTGGTTACCGAGCGGGAAGGGGGTGTTGGGAAGGAGACTTATTAGAACACCCAAGCCATCCCCGCACACACGCGTGCACACACACGCACGCTCGCCACTCACACACAATAATAGCACTCATTTCCCTAAAGATAATGGGTTTAAACTGCAGCAACTTAAGAAAAAAAAAATCCAACTCTTGATCTGGAAGAGGGGAGGGGGGAGAAAGGCTCAGCGCTGGGAGAGAAATATCCATTCCCATCTTTGTGGGCTCCGGAGTGGATTGTGGTGGAGGGCTCGGGTTTTTCCAGAAGCTCCTTGTTGGACAATTTTTTGGGGGGAGCGCTGGCAGGCATCCCCCACCACCAACCAACCTCTGGAAAATGCAGTTTCCAACTCCCTGAACCCCTTCCCACAGCTCCACTACCTGGAATGCTTTTCAAGTTTCTCCCCACCCTTTGCCTTCCCTGCTACCCAGGACCAGCCTGATGGGTGGTTGGGAGTGAGGGGCTGTGAACAGTTTTCACCGCTTGTCCTTCCTCACCGCTGGGGGCTGAGACCCTGTAGCTAGCTGGTGGGAAAAGAAGGTAAGGAGGCCAAAGTTTGCTTCCTTGGGTGAGGGGGAGGAGAGAGGGGTAATAATAACATGAGATCCAAGCAAAGACCACTCCTCATTCTGTAAGCCCCCTCTCTCAAGGGCAGGCAGGAGGGGCTGCCTGGTGCCCCTGATCCTGGGCAGGCTCCTTCCCACTCACACTTTCATGCTACGTGACATCTCAGCTGCTTGGGAAGTGGGTATAGAGAGAGCATTCTGGGGGTGGAGGGGAGGGAAAGATGGCTTTTTGCAAAACTGTGCTGACTGGGAGTCCCAAGCAGGGCTTGCTGTCCCAGAGCAGGTACTCTGGAGAGGAAGCTGGTGACATGCGTGTGTGTGTGTGTATGTGTGTGACACATCTGCTTCAGTGTGAGTGTTATTCCTGCCCCCTGGCCTGCTGTGCAGCTGGTGGTGAACCAAGCTGCCCAGCTGGGTCATGAGTGCAGCCTGTTCTTCCTGAAGGAGGAGAGAGGGGAGGCCAGGGGAGGTAGGTGCTGGTCTCAGAAAGATGTGGGTGGTCTGGGTGCCCCCTGACTAGGACGGGGAGTTCAGTCAGGGTTGGCCCTGGGCCCTTTGTCCGCCTCCTCTTCTTTCCCTTCCCCCAACACGAGTTCCTCAGGGGGCTCAACCCTGCTCTAGGGTGTGGCCTTCACTGTCCCACTGCCCACAGCCAGGGCAGGAGGGGCTGAGGTGGGTGCTCTGGGCCTGCTGAGGCTCTGTAGCCCTGCCCTGCAGCCCTCTCCAAGTGGACTCTCATTCTGAAGGGGCCGTTATAAAACCTGACCTTTTCTCCCACTGGTTTGAAAACCCAGCTTTCTGGGGCCAGGAAGAAAAGAAAACTGTATTTTGTGGACGAGCAGTCAGGTTGCACCTGCTGGGCTGCATGCCCTCCAGGCTGCCAGGGCTCCCAGGCGTGGGTACCCTCTGAGGTCCTGGAGCGGAGGAGAGCAATATGGGGCCCAGCCAGTCACCTGCAGGCCCAGTCCCCCATGCTGCAAGCTGAGGGCTGCGGAGTTGACTCAGTTCTCACGGTGAAGGTGTGGGGGTGTGGGTATGAGAGGGTGTGCTAGTCAGAGATGCCCACCCTGGCATCTGCGACCCTGGAGGCTGAGGAGTGGGAGGAGGGGGTGAGAGCAGTGGGGGAAAGCAGGGGCAGCAGCCCTTCAGCTCCCTTCCCAGGAGACACCCCTTTCCAAAGCTGGGTGAGAGGTTAACTGAGTGACCATTGAAAAGCTCTGGGTTAGGCCAACCAAGAAGGAAGGGGTGGCTTGGTGTTAAGGAAACTTCAGCCCCAGGGCCCCTTTCCTGGCAAGGAGCCCACAGTTGGGAGTTGGTTGGAAATTCCACTTGGGGGAGAGGTTTTGTTGGAGCTTTAGTTGGGGCCACGGTGAGGCATGTTCCCAGAGCAGGGCTTTCAGCGTGCTGCTCCCAAGGTTCCGAGGGAGGCCTGGAGGTGGGGAGGCCTTGCTGGCCCAGCCATCCTGCCCTCCAGTGTGGGCATGCCCAGGGAGACAATGAGATGGGGAAAGCCACCTAGGGGGATCTGGTCACAGGACCAACTTGCACTGGCATCTCAGCTCTGGTGGGGACCCTCGATGCTGGGGAATGGCTGTAGCTCTGTGGGGTCACTCAGTCCCCAGTGTCTCCAGAAGCTGTTCCACGTGTCTTTCCTGGGTGGATCTGAGTTTCCCCCTGACCTCGAACTCAGAAATGCCAGCGGGATGCCTTCTGACTGTTATTCTCCTGGAGTTCTTGGCCCTGAGTTGCCGTGATTCCTTCCTCTGGCAGGACTTGTTTGCTTCTGGGGGTCATGATGTCAACTGGGAGAGTCAGGGACAGACAGCAGGTGGGCAGTTCGGAGAGAGGACACCCCGTCTTCTGCTGAGGGAACCCTGCCTGGTCGTGTGCTAGCTGGCAGCATGGGGGATGCCCTAGCTTTCGGCACAAGAGCCGGGATTCTGTAAGGATCATCCCTGGGGCTCCAGATCCCACCTGTAGGGCTGGCAGAGTGAGTGTCCTTCTTGCCCCAGTCCACTGGGCCAATGTCCTGATCATCTAGCCTACGGAGGGTATCTCCTTCTCAGTCCACCCCGGATATAGTCGAGGTGGGAGGGGAGAAGCCTGCGAGGATACTGGGGTGATCAAAGTCAGTGGAAGGCCAAGGGCTGGTTTGGTCTTCAGCACCAGCTGGCTGGCTGACTAGGTGGGGGCAGCAGGTGCAAGTGAGGCCAGGTCAGCTCAGCTGCTCCTGGGTGGCCCAGATGCACTGAGTCCTGCTCAGGGACCTAGGAATTTGCTGAAGCTGGGAAATAAGCAGATGCCCCACTGCCCACGCCGACACTTCCATTCTGGTTTCTTCTCTGGCCTGTCTCTGCCTGGCCACAGCCCTCAGCTCTTCCTGTCCTGAGGCAGAAGTATGGTCAGCGGGCAAAGGAAGTGTCAGTCGCTCTTGCCCTGGAGGCCTTCTCCACTCCAGGTCCACCCCTTGCTCCTCTTTGTCGGTTGGGTTCGTGGGTAGGCCTGGTCCCTCTAGGAACTAATCCTTTCCCCTCCTAGGCTCTGCCAGGAGGGCCCGGCTCTCGGTGCAGCGCTCTGCCTCTAGGTGTCGCTGTCTCCCTGCGGTAGCTGCCCCCTGCGCAGGGCCTCCTGGGGGGGAGGGAGGGAGACCTGGCCCTGCTGGGTAGAGATGGGGGGATGCTTGGGGGTTATGAGAAGGGGACTTCTGGTCTAGGATCATGTTACGTTTTGGGGCAGGATGGAATGGAGGAAGACTCCCAGATCACTCCTCGGGGCTTGGAGCAAGCAGTCTTGGCTCTGGGCCATGGTAGGGGCTTTTTCTGGGGCAGGATCTGGAGTGAGGGGTATGGGAAGGACAGGGAGACCAGGATGATGTCTGATGGATGAAACCACTTTGGGAACTTCATTCTGAAAGGTTCGGGTGGGCCTTTCCCTGCCTTCACCTCTGGATCTTCTCCCCTGATGCCCTCCCACCTGAGGACGGGGGGTTCGGACCCTCTGGGGCGATGGGTAGAAGGGGGGACATCAGACTCCTGTCTGTTCACTTTTGGAGAAGCCGGGGTCCCTGTGTGAGATGAGGGCCCAGGAGGGATGCTCTCACCCTTTTGAAATGGACTTCTTATTTGGCTTTTGGGAAGAAGAAAAGAAAGAAGGGACAGAGGGGGAGAGGCTTTCAAAGGAGCACGGGAGGAGGGGGAAAGAAAGAGAAAAAGAAATAGGAGGAGAGAGAGAGACAGACAGACAGACAAAGAAAAGAAAAAGAGGAAGCAGCTTGCGTAAGCCGTTCCCTCGGTGGGCTGAGGCGGAGACTGCCCCTGCGAGGCGCGGTCTCAGGTCTCAGCCACTGTGAGCCTGGGCTGGGCGAGGGCTGGGGCCCGGCACACCTCCGACCTCAGGGTCCAGCTTGTCTCCCAGTCTTCTCTCTCTTTCTTAAAAATGTTTTCTTTATCGTTCAATTACAGAACTCAGAATGGATAGGCTAGGGATCTGAGGAGCCTTGTCAGCCTATGTGCTACCCTGAGGTGTTATCTTCCTTCTTCGGGCCTCAGTTTCCCCAGGGCAAAATCTTGGGGCTGGACTCAGTGGTGTCTAATGTCCTAACAGGCTGTGAAAGTTAAATGACTTCCTGCCGCTTTCCAGGGTTTAACTAGTGCTTTGGTGGCCCTTTGTCTGGAACCAAAGCTGAGAGGGGACCAAGGGGGTATGAATGTGATCCCTGCCCCGCACACCCCAGCAGCTCCTGCAGCCCCCAGCTCTCTGCTGAGGCTGTCACATTCTTCTGTGGCCTCCTGGCTTCAACAGTTTGTGGTCTTGCTCGAGGGCCTCCTGGCTGGGCCCGGTGCTGAGGGGTGATAAGGTGGGCCCAGAGAGAACCTGATAGAGCCAGAGCAGAAGGGCAGCTTGAGTCCTCTTTGATGTTTGAGGAGGGATGTTGGTGTCTTGGGACCAGCAGCCCTTCCTCCGACCTGCTCTGTTGGGGAGGTGCCATGGGGTAGGATTTGATGTGCTTTGGAGTAAAGGGGTGTGAGGTTCCAGGAACGCCCACCCCTCAGCCCAGCATGTGTGTGGGAGACTGTGGGGGCCCTCACTCATGCTTGTCTTCCCTCCTCACCACCCAGACGAGACCCTCCGCTCTTTGGCCAGCCCTTCCTCCCTGCAGGGCCCCGAGCTGCACAGCTGGCGCCCCCCAGTGGACTGTGTCCGGGCCAATGAGCTGTGTGCGGCGGAATCCAACTGCAGCTCCCGCTACCGCACGCTCCGGCAGTGCCTGGCGGGCCGGGACCGGAACACCATGCTGGCCAACAAGGAGTGCCAGGCAGCCCTGGAGGTCCTGCAGGAGAGCCCCCTGTATGACTGTCGCTGCAAGCGGGGCATGAAGAAGGAGCTGCAGTGCCTGCAGATCTACTGGAGCATCCACCTGGGGCTGACCGAGGGTAAGCCTGGCGGGGATGGTGGTGGGTGGTGGTGGTGGTGGTGAGGGGTGTGGGCAGGTGCAGGTTCAAGGGAGGACTCAGCAATGGAGTGAACTGGCCAACTCTCTATCCTTCCCTGCTGGGGGGAAACGGGAACCCAGACGAAGTAGCCTCCTGATCTAGGAGGAGAGAAGGCTCCATGGAGTAAGGCTGGAGCCATGTCGGGGAGGGGGGGACAGGAAGTAAACCGGGGGCAGGAGGACCTATGATTGTATGAAGTGGTCACAGGAGAAGGTGATCCAAGAGTCCCAGGCAGATGGAGAAGCCAGGCCAGAGGAGAGAGAAGGGCTGGCTGTGTGAATGCAGAGCTGAGCTTCAAGCTCACAAGTCCTGCCACTCCCGCCACCTGGATGCCGAGTGAGGGCCGGCCCCTGTGGCTGGCCTGGGCACCATCTACAGGGCTTGGAGTGGCATGAGGGCAGCAGGTCCATATCCCTTAACAGCCTACCCCCAAGTCCCAAGGCAGAGCCTGTCACCGCCACCCCCACAAGATACTACCTCCCCCATATCCCCCTGCAGACTGGAGTGTGGACACTTTGCATATATTGTAGGAGGGTTGCTGCCTGGGTCAGACGTTCATTTGTTAATTCAGCAGCTGTTTATCGAGAGCTTACTGTCTGTTAGGCATTGTGGGAACAGTTGAGGACAGGCTGTGGCAGCCTCTGCCTTCATGGAGCTCATACTCTGGAGCTGCAAACATGTGAAGGCATTCTGTCATTTGGGGGTGTGAGTGCTGTGGTAGAACTGAGGAGGGGCGTCTAACTCCTTGCTACAAAATTTTGAGAGACTTCATGGAAGAGGCAGCCTCCCAGCTGAGACTAAAGAGTGAGCTGCAGTTATGTGGTGAAGGGCCCTGGGAAGAGTTTGAGAGGTGCAAGGTGGGCCAGGCAGAGGCCTGTGTGGGGGAGAGCCGAAATCGCATGTGGGCCCGCAGGTGACTCCGTATGTAGAGGGGGCATTGGAAGTGGGCGGGGGTGAGGAGAGGCAGGGGCACGAGGTCTGGGGGCAGCAGGGCGCTTGAACAGTGTTCAGTGACACCGACCTTGAGCTCTGCTTCAGGACAGCATCCCTGTGGTTCAGGAAGCGAGCAGATGGGAGACTGGAAGGCACCGTGTGACACAGGCCAGGTGTCAAGGTGACTGACCCAGCACAGGGGCAGGAGAGGGGGAGGATCTAAGAGCCCTTCGGGAGGGAGAACCCACAGGTCTTGGTGAAGGGAGTGGAGTCAAGGAGGGCACCCAGTTTCTGTCTTGGGAGCTTGGATGGGTGGTTGGTTCAGTCACAAACAGCAAAGGTTTTGAGTTGGGGGAGGGCAGGGGGATGTTGAATGCTTTCGGGGGTCTGTGCTGCTCATTGGCCATGCCCCGCAGACAGCTGGGTGTGCAGCGCTGCGGCTCAGCTGACAGAGGCTTAGGGGTTGCTCTCAGCTCATGGGTGGGAACCTGCAAGGGAGTGGGCCATTGCTGAGGGAGGAGCGTGGGGACAGACCCCAAGATCTGTGACATTTAAAGATGTGGCAAGGAGGATGGTGGGAGTCGGGCTGCAAAGGTAACCGAGGAGGCTCGGGGAGAGGCCAGGGCAGCAGGAGACCAGGGCCGGAGCTTACCCTCAGGAGTAAGGAGTGTCCAGTGTCCAGTGTCCAGTGCTGCAGGTCCAGCTGGAGAGGGTGGAAAAGGGTCCTCGATGCCCTGGGGTGAGTTTCTTAGGTGGTTGCTGGGGGTCGAAGCTTGGGTAGGGAATGAATAGGAGCCAGGGAGCAGAGAGTAATGGGCGTGGACAGCAGCCTCCAGAACTTTGGTGTGAAGAGGGGAGAAGAACAAAGGATGACTTAAAAAAAAAGATGTGAGAAGGTTGAGCATCTTAAATTCCAACGCAGGACAGTAATGATGGAGGTGCTGAGGTGAAGGAGAGAGGGGTGCTCTGTGGACAGTGCCTGGGAGAGGGGAGGGGTGGGTCCAGGGCCCCTCAGGGCAGAGGAGCAATCCCCACTCCGGATGCTGGAAGCAAGGAGGAGATGGATCAGGTGTGGAGGCTGGATAGAGAGGCGTTCCTGACCGCTGGCCAAGATGGTTCAGCTCTGCCCCAAATAAAGGAAAAAGCTGTGCATATATTTATTAATAGAATTACCACCATTAATAACAAAGGGATTCTGCATGAGTCAGGTAGTCGCCCATTTCTAGCGATCTCAAGTTCTCGAGCTGGAAGTGAGCAGAGAGAGGGGCCCAGGCACCGCGTTCCTGTGAGAGCCCCAGGCCGACTCTGGGCAGAGAAGACTGACGTCCCTGATCCAATGAGCCGGGCTGTTTGGTTTCTGGCTTTCTTTCCCCTGGCCTTCCATTTCAGCCCAAGGGAAACTGTGCAGCAGGTTGGGGTGGCTGTGCTGGAACGTGCATGGGGGAAGGGACAGAAGTGCCAGCCAGATGAGCTGGTGGGCTGCCGGGAACCTTCCCACCTGAGGGGCTCCCTCTGACGTTGCCGATGTTGCTGACGTTGCCCAGGGCCTCCTGACTGGTGCTGGGCAGTGAGGTGCTTGAGGGATGACAATACACATAACGTGTGTTCGTGTTGCCGGCTGCCCTGTGGCTTCCAGGTCCCTGAGACCCAGGAATGCCTGGCAGGAGATGTCTGGGTCCCAAATCTTGAACTGCTTTATCGGTTCATTTACTCATCAAACATCTGCTAAGCACCTACTGTGTGCTGCAGATGGTGATGGCGTAAAAAAGCAACGGTTGCTCCCTGTGCCAGCCAGTGTACAAGCTGGGAGACCTTTCCCCTGGGCTCACTCTAGAAAAGCAGAGCCCTGGGTCTTGCGGGCCAGAGTAGTTTCTGCAGAGAGCTGATAGCCTGGAGGCCTTTGAATAGCAGGTAATGTTCTGTGAGTAAGAGGATCTACCCAACAGTTAAGTGTTCCTGGCGTGGGGGACGTGGTCCCCCAGCACTTCTCCCGGTTCCCAACAACATCTAATAACGGGGCTCGGGCCCTGGGGTGGGTGGCAGGATTGGCCTCTGCTGGTGGTGAGATGCCCCTGGAGACTGGGTCCCACTGTGTCCTTCTGCCTGAGGCTGAAGCCCTCAGCGAGTGGAGGTGGTGGTGGCAGGACTGTGGTGGTGGCAGGACTGTGGCCCCTCCTGAGTGCCTGGACAGTCCCAGCTGCAAGGACCTGGAGCCGTTCAGTCCCATGCCCATTCTGGTGGGGAAGCAGATGTGCAGGGAGGAGGGGTAGTGTCTCTGGGCACATAGCAGGTTCATGGCATGGCCCTGATGCCTTACCCAGCCCCTTCCTCTTCCCTGGGGAGGTCCTGGGGCCTTGAGTCCCCCTGGCACCTCCACCTTCTGTGTCACCTCCACTGTCACCACTGGTATTTATAGGGTGGAGCTGTTGCTCTTGGCTGCACGGGGCACTTGAGACCAGGCTTTTTGTCTTTCTTGAAGGTGACAGTGAGGTTTGAAGTCACTCTGGTCCTTCAGATGTGAAAAGCAAAGGCTTCTCCCAATAGTCCTCTCCCAGGTCATGGCTTAGCTACCTGGTGTCCTGACTTGGCTTCGGTCTGGCTGCCGAGGAGCCCGAGTAGCCAGGCCTTGGGTTTCTACTGGTGACTTCTTCTTTTTTAAAAAATTACTTTGTTGTTGTTCAGCTACAGTTGTCTGCATTTTGCCCCCACCACTGCTCCCCTCAGCCAAACCCACTTCCCTCCCTTGCTTCCAACCCTCCCCCTTGGTTTTGTCCATGTGTCCTTTATAGTAGGGTGGGGTATAGTATAGTATAGAAGGGTGGGGCCAGAAGTGAAGAGGAATAGTAGTTCCTGAAAACCCTTTCCCCCACTGTTCCCTCCCCACTCCTCTCTGGTTAGATTTGTTCTTAATTTCAATGTTTCTGGTTATATTTTGTTTGCTTTTTTCTTTTGTTGATTATGTTCCAATGGAAGGTGAGCTCATATGGTACTTGTCCCTCACTGTCTGGCTTATTTCACTTAGCATAGTGCTCTCCAGTTCCATCCATGCTGTCGCAAAGGGTAGGAGCTCCTTCTTTCTGCTGTGTAGAATTCCATTGTGTAAATGTACCATAGTTTTTTGATCCACTCATTTATTGAATTCTGATGACCTAAATTGGGTGGACCTCTCCCAACCAGTCCTGGGAGGGTTATTTCCCCCAGAGACACCCTAGTCAATCACACTGGCTGATGTGTACCCAGGGGCGGAGCTGCACCAGGTACAGTCATGACGGACAGGCCCTGTGCTGGGCGAGCAGTCCAGTGGGCAGAGGCCGCTCCTGTGAGGACTTAGACCTCTGCGGTACTTGTCTCTCAGAGCACTTTGGTTTCAACGACACTGTGTTTTTGGAGACCGCATTCATGACGATTAGGTACTTGGATCCTGACACCAGCTACCTGGGTCTGAAGCCTGGCTCTGCCACTTACCAGCTGTGTGGCCTTGGGCAAGTTACTTAGTGTCTCTGTGCCACAGTTCCCTGTCAGTAAAACAGGGAGGCTAAGAGTGCCAGCCTTGTAGGTAAGTGAAGAGGAGTAAATGAGTTAGTGTGCCTAAAGCACTTTCAGTAGTGCTGGCCCATGGAAAGCACAGTATAATATCGTAATTTCACACAGTTTAATTTCAAAAAATACTTGTACACTCTTATGTTACTTGGCCTCAACCACTGGCACTGGCTGACAACCTCACCACGGAGTTTCCCCAGGGCTGGTGGGCAGCGGGGAGGACACAGACCACAGGAAGGTGGGGTCGGAGCCTGGCCTGAAGGGGAGAGTAACATCCAGTTCAGGTCAAATGGCAAATGCCAGGTGGGCATCCACGTTGCAGAGGCTGTGTGCTGGGCGCTGCTGGGTGCTGCAGGGCCCAACGGCCGCTCCTGGGAGGTGGAGCGAAGGGTGGGGCCGTTTCCATAGGGCCATGCACTTCTCGCATCATCTGGGGTCTGCACCCTTTTCTGGGGGTCTGCCAGTTTAGCAGACAGGAAGCTTTGCCCCATGCACCAGCAGGGGACTGGTTCTGTCTCTAATCCTAGCCTCTGGGTTACCTCATGGACCAGCTGACTGAGCTCCTCACAGGGATTCCCAGGTGCCACGTCTGGGTGGCTGGCACTCTCTTGCAGGTGGCCCCCGTGGGTGCCGCCTGCACGGGGTTCCCTTAGGAAGGAGGTGCCTGCCCACAGTCTGGGCCCCGGGTGGGTGGGAGCTCACTGTGTGAGGCTGTGGGTCATTATTGTGTCCCCACCCCCACTTCATATGGACAGCCTGAGAGATTACTTATTGACTTCTTACTGTGAAGTCTTAAGAGGATGGTTCCTTTCCTGCAGGGTGTCTGCAGAGGGGGCGAGAGTCTGATGAGGTGGTGGGGGGACTCTGGGGCCATTTCTCTCCCATTGTTCCCTTGCTTTCCCTTTCCCTGAGCCTCTGATGTGCCCATGGTCTGAGAAGCCAGCAGGTGGTGGGACAGATAGGGAGACAGTATGGGAGGGGTCAGGCTGACAGGCCCCTTGGCCCTCCAGCCAGATTCTTCTGGTGTCATGATAGGAAGCAAACAGGGATCTTCTGTCCCCTCCAGGGGCCTGGGCAGGGTCAGCCTGGTGCGGTGGGAGAGAGCACGGGAGTGAGGGCCGGGGCACCATGTCCAGCTGCAGCTTGGCCGTGAGCAGCTGTATCATCTCAGGTGGGTCACCTCACCTCTCTGGGCCACTTGCAAGCCCTGTATTATGAAGTGAGGATGTGTTGTGATATTGTGCTGGAGGATGGGACCTGGCCTTCCCCGGGCTGTCATGGTGCCACCTCCCCTCCTTCCCACGAGCATTGGGAAGTCCTTAGAATAGGGCAGGTCAGGCCAGGAGGTCATGGCTGAGTTCCTCGGCCATCTGACCTGCTCTGGGGGACCTTCTACTCTGGCTGGAGTGAATAACTTGTCCATGTGACATGCCAATGCTCACTTTCAGGAAGGGGCACTTGTGCCTGATGATGCTCTCTTTTCCAGGGGAGGAGTTTTACGAGGCCTCGCCCTATGAGCCGGTCACCTCCCGCCTCTCGGACATCTTCAGGCTTGCTTCAATCTTCTCAGGTGAGCAGGTGTGGGCTGGGCTCTCGGTTCTCCCCTGGGCCTATGGGGCAGATGGAGCCCTGGCCTTGGCTCAGGGGCGCCGATCCTCAGGTCAGCAGATGCTCACCTGCGTGTGCAGTGAAACATTTATGGGGACTGCCTGGCACTCGCCCGCTGGGCAGCGGGGCTTGAATCTGAATCCTGATGTCGCTCTCCTGTTCTGTTGCCTGTCTCCCCATGGGTCTTTCTTTCCAGACCCCCAGCTTTTCTGTTCCAGCTGTTCAGGCTCTTTGTGCCTCAGTTTCCTCAGCTGTGCAACGGAGAACACAGCTGCCCTGTGGGTTGTCTTGAGGTCTGAGTGAGCCAGTGGGTATTGAGGGCCCCACCTGCTGCGGTGGCGTCCAGGACATGCCAGTCACCAGATCTGCTTGGCTTCCTTCTGCCCTGAGGGCTCTGCTCCTTGCACCCCCAGCCCCTCTGCCTGCCTCAGACAGGGGGAAGGCCAAGGTTGAACTATAGTTTTGCTTGTCCTGGTCTGTGTGTAGGAGCCCACTGGGTTTTTTGGTTCTTTGTTTTCTCTGCCGTCTGGGGAACCAGTGGGTCCCGCGCAGGGTGCCCCTGCTTAGGCCCTGGGGGGTCTTGGAAATGCTCTGTGGGGGCTGGCGGTGAACTCTTCCTGGAGCCGCCGCTGGTGCCAAAGGTGGCAGGGTCAGGGTGGGCTTGCTCCCTGGGATCCCTGCGTACAAAGCCCCAGGTTTCCAGCTGGTTCGTGGCAGGATGTGAAGCCCTTTGAAGTCTCTTTCACTTTAAACGAGGGTTTCTCAGCAGCACTGCTGCTGACACTTTGGCCTGGGTACGTCTCCTGGGAGAACAGCCCACCCTGTGCATTGTAGGATGTTGAGCAGCATCCTACAAGTCTGGGGACTTGATGCCAGTAGCGCCCCTTCCCCAAGCTGTGACTACCCCAGATGTCTTCAGACAGCACCTTGGGGCACACAAGCTGCCAGAGGGGAAGCTCTGAACTGTGACTGAAAGACTCCAGTGAGCCCCTGAGCCCTTTCAAATGAAGACTTCTCTAGCACAAGGCCGCCCAAACTTTCTTTCCCCTTTATTACCCCCTAAGGAGAAAAATATATCTAACTAGTGAAATACTGTCTTGGTCTACACAGTTCTGGAGGCTGGGAGTTCAAGTTCAAGGTCCAGCAGGGTTTGGTTTCTGGTGAGAGCTCTCTCTCTGACTTACAGATGGCTACCTTCTCACTGAGTCCTCACAGGGTGGGGTGGGGCTGGAGAGTTGGGGAGTGTGGAGGGGGACGGGGAAGGGGGAGAGAATGAGAGTGAAAGAGCGAGCTCTTGTAAGGCCACAGTCCTATCTTATTAGAGCCCCGTCCTCATAGCCTCCTTTCACCTTAATTCCTTCCTGAAAGCCCTCTCTCCAAATACAGTCATACTGAGGGCTATAGCTCTTCCAGGGGTATGATTTAGTCCATAGCAAAAGTCAAGAAGTAAAATTTTATCAGGGTTGGGTTTTGGAGGGCCACAGCCACTGTAATATCTACTTTTTTTTTCCCCAAATGGAGGCCCAGCTTTTGTTCCCGTGAGGGCATCACTGTCCTCCTGGTGGACAGGCACCCATTTCCAGCCCACCAGTGGCTCAGGTACCAGCCCCCACCCCAGCACCACTGTGCGGGAGGGGGCCTTTGGGATTAACTCCCCGAAGGTTGAAGGTCAGGACTCCCCACTTCAGTTGCGCCCCTGCTGCTTCCCTGGCTCACGTGAAGTGTCTTCCTAGCAGAAAATCGTAATGGACTTGACACTCTGTGGGACAAGGATGTTTCGACAAGATAAATGAGGAAATGACTGGGTCTGCACTCGCTGGGCCAGCTCCTCTACCTGCTGCCCAGACCCACTGGGCCTGCCCGGCCCTGGGTGCCGGGGCCCCGGGGACTGCTCCCTGCTGTGAAGGCAGGGCTTCGGGGTCCCTGACTGCTGCCTCCTCATCATGCCCATTGGCCCTGTTGCACCCACAGCAGCCCTGGAGTGGGTGCCCGGGCACCGGCTCTGCCTGGGGAAACCTGACCGCGCAGTTGGTGAGGAGGCCCTGGCCTGGCTACCAGGAAACCAAGTGGGCCAGGGTGGGCTCAGCAGAGAGGAGGCTGGTGGGGAGCCATGGAGCCTGGTTCCAGGGCCTTCTCTGCCCCCAGTCAGCTGGAGGGCGTGGGCCGGTCACCTCCTGCTCCGGACTCACATTTTCTTCCTGCAGAAAGGAGGCGGGCACTGGGAGCCGTGCCCCCCAGCCTGTCCTCGCCAGAGCGCCCAGGCGATGGCAGCAGTGCCGTGTGGCGCACTGCGATGAGCAGAGCAGCTTGGAGCTCAGGTGGTGGCCAGCGCCCGCCAGGCTGCCCTGCCAGCTGAGGGCTGGCTGTCTGGGCACACATGTCTTCTGCTGGGAGCTTGCTGGTGGGAAGGCCTGGCCTGGGTGACCCAAGATCTTGGACTCTGCTTTGGGGAGGTAAGCCTGCTGCCCTGTGGGGCTGTGTGGAGCCCCTCCCACTTCCACACACCCACATCTGGTGGCATGCTGCCTCCCCCACCTAGGTGGCCCTCAGCTGGGCCTCAGGGACTCCGAGAAGGGTGCTGCTGAACCCTTCTGTGTGGGGCTCAGTTGCTATTTTCTCTTTGGTGTCTGAGATTTCGGGGCCCAGTGCAAAGCGTCTGGAATGTGTGATCTCTTTATCTCTTGCTTTCTCTCTCTGGTGGGGTTCTGTTGGCCAGGAAAGCCACCAGGGTTCCCCAACGCTCTGATGCCAGAGGCCCTGGGGCAGGGGTGAGCCCTCCCCTGCTTGCTGCCTAGTTCAGACACAAGCCTTGGGCTCAGTGACTGGCTCTGGGATTTCTGGTGTCGTCAGTCCCGAGTCCAAGGCCAGGAGGAGAGCAGTGTGGCTCTGCCTAGAACCAGGATAACAGTGAGGTTGGAGGCATCCAGTGTCTTGCCTGAGCCTTACAGACGGGAGAGGAGGTTTTGTGGAGAAGAAATGAGGTTTGTCCTATTCCTAGCAATTCAAGCTGCCCTTGGAAACATGAAATGGAGAGTTTTGTGCACCTGTCACCCTTGGCATGTGGGAAGAGTGTGAACCACCTGGTGCTGTGTTTGAATCTTGATGTGCCCGCTTAGGGTTGTGTGACTTGGGGCTGCGTTGCAGCCTTTTGGAGCTGTGGTGCCCGTGTTTGTCCTGTGGGAGTGTGATACCTGCTAACGCGGCTGATGAGGAGGATTTACCGAGAGTGACAGGGAGAGTGACCGGGAGTTATCTCTCTGCTGACGCTGCCCAGGCGAGGGGTGATGCAGAGACGACGGAGCTCCAGCCGTGCCCCTCCGTCCCCAAGTCTCTGTGACCGTGTGAATGCTGAACCCCAGCTGCTTTCTTCCGGGGAGGCCAGAGGGGATGGACTAAGGTGGAGAGGAGAGAGAAAGGCTTCTCAGGGAAGAAGAGATGGTCCAGGCAGGAAGACGTCGAGGGCCGGCCATGTGGACAGTGAGGGGAGCAGAGGAGCCCGTCCACCTGCAGGGAGGCCTTCAAAATGAGGACCGAGGGTGGTGGCTGTCCTCACAGCCGTGGGCCGTGCCTCAGGGACAGGGGGAAGTGGCAGGCAGGCGGCCTGCGTGCGGTTGGGGAGGGGCAGGCATCTGCAGGGCCTGGCTTCCCCTGCAAGCTCTTCCGGACGTGTGGACATGCAGTGTGTCCAGGCGGATGTGTCGGTCTTCTCTGTAGCCGGAAGGGGACTAGCGACCATCTAGGCCCACCCTTTCCCCTGACGGAAAAGGAAACTGAGGCCCAGAGAGAAGGGACAGCCGGAGACCGAGGTTCTAACCCTGGCTCTGCTTTTGCCCAGCGTGACCCCATAGCTGTCGCCCCTCCGTGGCCTCTATGCAGTGCTGTGACTGCGTGTGGAGCATGGTGGTGAGAGGCTGGGCCCTGGTGCTTTCCGGGGGCTGAGGAAGAAGAGGTGGGCCGCGTCCATTTCAGGTGGCCGGCAAACCTCTGTACTCTGCCACCTTGCCTGGACAGAGCCGGGAGAGGCCCAGGCATGTTCTTGTTGGAGACTCTGGCGGGAGGGAGCCCTACCTCTGCCGCGAAGCCCCCTGCGTAGGGCCTGAGAGGGGACCCGCACCCTGCTCCTGGGTGCCGTCGCACTCTGTCTCTTATCGGGGCCTGCCCTCACCTGATGGGGTCGTGGGCGCTGGTCTCTGCATCAGTGCTGCGCTACTAGGGCGCCCCGCCCCCCGGAGCATCCTGGGAGAGTGGGTGGGTGTGGGCTCTGAGCCCCCTGCCCTAGTTTTGAATCCTGGCCTTGACCTACGAGCCGGGCCACACAGGGTGGGTCACTTGACCTCTCCGAGTTTCCTGTTTCTCACCTGTACTGTCATCGCAGGATCTGTGTCTGCGATGACAGGCGCGCAGCTCCTCCCAAGGTGCCGGAGGAGTCCGGGACCCGAGATGGCAGTGGCGTGGTGGCTTTGCCGGGGGTTGGAGGGCGGTAATGGTTTAGTGCGAGGTGTTAGACCTGCACAGGAAAGGCGACGAGGAGGCCCGGGCCAGCCTGAGGTGCCTGTGGGAGCTGCGCTGAGGAGTCCTGAGGTTCGGGAGGGACCCGGCCAGGCGCTCACAGGGCTGGTGGTGGGGCTGGGCACCTGGGAGGCGCACGGTCGGTCAGTCCAGTGGATGTCAGGGCAGTGCTCAGGGCGTTCCACAGGAGACACCACTTTAAGTTGAATCGGACCCACGTCCTCACTGTCAAGTGGGGCTGGCAGATACCCACTCGGTGGTTTATTATCGGTGGCAGTCCAGGGGAGGCTGTGCCTGGCGGCACCTGGGAAATCAAGAAGGTCCTGGAGGAGGAGAGTGGGGCCTGGGTCTGATGTTTTGGTGGTGTCACCGCATGGAGGCCTGGATGGGCTTAGGGTGTTGAAGGAACCACACGTCTTGTGACCTGTGTGGGCTCCAAAGACACCAGATAGA